TATAGAAAATGTGTTTTGAGATATATCTACGTTGAATGCGTGGCTACCCAGGACGTTTTAGGGAGCACTGCACTACGGTATCGCTGGAGTTTGATTTTAGAAAGTTTGGTAACAAGAGGTCTGACAATCAAATAATCATTCTGTGACCGATGTAAATCCGAAACAACTCATTCTAACTATCATATCGGCAGCTAAAGAGTACTGTGTGTTCGGGAACATGGGCCTACTCTAAACGTTTAAGCGTACGCACTTATGAATGGCGTGCCCGACGTTCATGGCAACTGACAGTCCAAAGACAACAAAAGATGAATGCAAGAATAGAAAGGTGATGGCCAAAATGAAGATCGCAGCTGGTGAGCCTGCAACTGATGATTATGGACAAGTGAAAATTGTCAAGAACTGGGGTTTTCATTTAAATGGTAACAATCCACCGGAAGGTCAAGTCAAGTTGTTAAGCATTGCATTCATCCATTCACAGCCTATTCTCTCTCAGAGACTACCACTGATGCAATAATATTTAATGCTATCATTACTATCTTTTAAAATTAAATTAGGTCAAAATGCAGTTTCGTGAAAGCACGTGAGTATGAGTGAGGGGTACACAGACCTGCAGGCACAATGCAGCAGAATTTAAACTCAAGCTTAAGGTCATTTTATGACACTGGAGCAAAGTCAGTCCAGTCTGAGTACATTAAAAGAGTCACAGAATTGGTGCTTGAGCTTCAGCGTGTGGTTTTTTAATCCAAAAAAGGTGATTTTTCAGTCTTGGTGTAGATTCATTCACCCGCTCTCCTAATTGGCCAGTTATGCACAACAGCTACTATGTGAGCCACACGCTGTGTGACGTTTAACTACCAATGCGACAAAAGCGTCGACGTATTTATCGACTGCTCCACTACTGCATTATCAATTTTTGATTTGGTTCCTTTTAATTTCTAATGACTCAGCGTTCTCAATATCACCTGATATCCCTCATTGGTGAGTTACCTCAGTGTTTATCGCTGTTCATGTCTTTGTTTATGTTCGGTGTCAATACTGCCTATCCCGCACTTCCTATGATTCCTCCTTAAATATGTGCAAACATAGGCTGCATTGCTTTGTCACAGCACAGACATTTGGGTTGTGTCGAATCCGTGATTCATTCATCAATTCGAGTAACGTGCATACCGCATAGGACTCATAGACCTTGTGCTATTGGCCCGTGTGAATAAGCAATCCAGGACAAAATCCATTCGAAAATTCTATTCTGGCCAGCGACTGAACGGTTTCTGAAGAAATCAGCTGTGCAAATGCGTGCTCAGAGTGAGCGTTTCGTCTACGTGGTGAGATGCAGTGTAAAGGAGGTTCGAAAAAGCATCTTGACTATGTGGTTTTGAAGGTGGCACATTGTAAGCAACAGTCCGTGCAACTTGGAGAGAATGCAAATGAAGTTGGTGAGGTTTGATATATGTCCCATTGATCATTGCGATTCTCAGGTATGGGACTGGGTTTACATCTCCCCTTCCCCATTTGCACTTCTGCGTGTGACAAGTAGACACAAGTCGATTTAAGAAATATTTCATCGCAAAGAAATGTTCTGCAGCAAATTTTGACTATTCCAATAGTCAACAACTGCAGTCGTCAATCAGTTAATACACATTTACTTGAATCAATGCTGCATTGCTAAAGATAACAGAATACTAATTTTACACACCAGGTTACGCACAACCCTTCACATAGCTAATACTCACACAGGTGCTATCCACGGATCCCTGTCAAGTTAGACCGCATGTGATCACTACACACTGAGCCCTATCACCATGTCTTCAAGGTGTGATGAAGCAATTTACGACATCGTCAAGTGATACAATCGAATGATAACTAATAAATAGTTAAGCTTTCGTGCGTCGAAGACTGTAATTTAGGGAAACCACAACCCGTGTCGATATGATTTTTATGGTAATAGTAAATCAGATGTTAACTTTTCCAGAAAAATTATTTATTCTTTTAGCTTCTAATAATATCCATTATAATGGGAGCAGTAGGGATTTGTTGTCTTCAGCTGTCTGATTGATCCACATACACCACGAGATTGAACCTTGTTCTCTAGCAGTCAGTTTTCTCCCGTCTCCTTTCTGTGAGGGTGTTTGTTCGAATTCGCTGTCGTTGTCAGTACGCAAGACTACCAAGTCAGGTTCACGGCAAAAAAAACGTGAAGCAGTTAAGCAAATACTGCAGTTGTTTTTGAGCCCATTAACCAGGACTGAGAAGTCAAGGATGGGATTGGATTCGAGGCGAGAATTGCTAATCGCCTACACCGTGTGCCAGGCTCAACGAATCTTGGAAAGATGAGCTGGAACAACGCGGCCAACAACTCCACCACCGCCTCGTCCTTCTCCTCATTGCAAGCGTCCTCACGCAAACGCAGTTTCTTCATCACAACACCAGATATTCAATGTCTGTGACATTTCTAAATTATCGATCGCCGACGAAATGGATGCAAATATTGAATCTGATGTGCGCAGCCATTCCGTCCACAGAGATGTTGCAGTACGCTCGAACATTGCTGTGTCACAAAAACACATTTCGTCGCGTTCTCCACGTCCTGGATTGCCCAATGACCCTCCAATGAGCCACTCAACTCGAGCACATGAATCGTCAAGTGGTAAGTCGACGTATCTATGCAAGTAGTTTGGTTGTGAAATTATTTTCTCTACAAGCTGTTGTCACGACGACTGATCGCATATCTGCTCTTGAACAGTGCTGGCCACGATGTGCCACCTCAGATCAGATTAGGCGTTTAGTTCTGTCCATTGGAATTTATTTCCTACGATTGACTGGTTGTGCATTAGTTCACGTGTGATTTTGGGCACGAATTCCACAGGAAGATACCGTGATCGTTAATTTTGCTTTTAGGATTGCAATCGCACCACAATTCCGTCCAATTCAATGTGGGCCGATGGCTAGCTCCAAAGTGTTAGCCATCATGAAAACGCCATCCACCTCTAAATGACGAATCTGTGGACTGTGGCATTCTCTTTGCGTGGAAGCCTTGTTATTAATTGCTATAGTTTTCGCACACATGTCAGCTCTCATTGTTCTAAAGAATGCATCTCCTAATTATGCTTGTTGTGTTTTTAGCTTGACATATATGGAGGAATTGATGGTTGACTGATGGAGGTGCATCATTCGTCGTGTCGCAGTCGAAAAGCTGCTCGAGATTGAACATACCTCCATCGCAGTCATTTCTGTACCATCTCTTCTCAATGAGTGCGTTTGTGCAATGTTGCCATCAACGTTGGCTTTGCAGACTGTCAGTTCGTTTGCAATACCGGAAACACAAGATGCAGCCAAGCGAATGCTCGAGTTACCGTTGCGTATATTGGACATGATTGGAAATTTAAAAAGAGAATTAGATTTGAAACAAAGATAGCTACTCTCCTCTGCGGCGGGACATGCGAAAGAAGAGTTGTGGAGATCAGTTTCGAGAGCGCTATCACCACCAACATCGCCGCCTTCACCAAATCCTCAAATCAGCCTTCCAGACGGAATCCCACCTGATTCATAACAACAACAATGTCCTGATATCCCTGACATTTCTGAGCTCTCA